TATTCTGCAATATACGTAATTACTTGTGATTTCCAGAGAACATTAGGTTATTTCAAAGCTACTTTGGCACCCATTGTCCCATGAGGTTGGAATGGCCTTCCTTCTGCCATCACCTTGTAACCTTGGCTAGGACTTACTTATCCTATCCTTTAATAATCAACCTGAACAGTTTTCAGGAGAGGTTTTCTCAATCCTCATATTGGATTAGGTGCCCCATCTTGGTGTTATTACAATATCCTATTTATATCTCTAACATGCTACTTAATTGTTTCATAATATGGGTTCTTATGCCTGACACTCAGACTACTATGTCTTGAGGACAGGACAGACACAGTAGTCTTATATATTTTTGTATCACTACTGCTCAGCTAAAAAAAACTAGATGCACAAATGTTGGATGGTTAAGTAAAAGAATAAACAAGGTTGAGGCAAATTGGAACACAGTGCCACAAAGACTTGGGAGGATATTTAGGAGGTAAACAGGCCTCAGTAACTATAGGTTGGAAGTTGCTGGGGGCTGGAATCAAGAATGACCCTCGTTCGTAAATGGCAGTGCAATAGAATAAAATCAGAAACACTAGAGAAGAAGAAAGTTTAAAGGGAATACTAGTTCTCTCTTTAGGGATGTGTTGAGTTTGAGATGCTTACAGGAATCCTACAAAATGTTATTTTAGCTCATTTTACAGCAGTTAGCATAATGCTTACATAGATACTCAAATAAATTTGGTGGATTAAATTTCCATTCCTAGTTTATTAAAAAATAGTCATGCTGATAGTTAAGTTCTGGAATCTGCTATGTAATATAGATAACTAAATTTGGAACCAGTTTTTATTTTTTCTCTAAAAGTTATCACTTCAGTTTTTTAGGTAGGTAAATTTAAAGGTTTTTTTCTTTTTCCTTCATTTTGTTTATGATAAACTTCTAAAGTTTGGAGGAGAAAAACTTTAGGTCCATCAACCAGAAGGACAGCATTCTTAGGCCAGATAAGCTTTGTTTATTTAATTAAGATTAGATAATAAATAATATAGAATGAAGATTAAATAATAAAGGGGAATCATTTCTGGCAAAGAACTAAAAATCTCTTCTTTCCCTGGTGCCAGAATGACAGGAAACCTGTTGGCTTTGGTGCTGGGTGGTAATGCCAGAGAGTTGTTTTTGGTTTTTGGATTCTTTATTTGACTGAGTCAAAAGTTGAAGGTACATCTGCCAGAAAACAGAGACATCGTATAAGGTCTGTACAACTGATTAGACTAAATAATAATAATAATAAGTTGTGGATTTTCCCCTTCTGCAGCTGGGTTTGGGCTGAGAATATTTTTGCATCCTTTCCAGGCTTTGTTCATAGGAGATGTTTGCCTCATCACTAAAGGCACCATCCAAAATCTCTCTTGGATAAGAGCTACCTGGAACCCGTGTTTGTCCTGCATGAACATTAGGAAAACAAAATTCCATTTCCATCCATGAAGAGAAATACTTGCTTTTCTAATCAGCAGGAACATTTTACTCAAAGTTGATGCACACCAGTTGGGAAATTGTTTATAGATTCACGGCGGCAATGTATTCTCTCTCAGTGCCTTGACAGATGAAAGAGACGTGCCCCAAGACCTTTAATCATACCTATGGCAAAAAGGGCCCACTGGAGCAGGTTTGTTATGTCTATGGTAGAATTCTCACCACAAATCAAAGAGGACACATCAAGTTCTTACTTTGATGATTATACCAATCTTTCTCAGGTATCTGTGAATCTATTGTGAGCGTGGTTTAATTGAACACTAGAAAATATAAGGCTCCCCAACCCACATTCCTATGGCTCTAACACTGCGGATTTTAATTCTTGCTATTACTGTATGACAAATTGCTTTGCCAGCTCAGAAGATGAGCACAGAGGAAAAAATGGTTATTATTAACAAGGTTCTGCCCTTTAATATGTTTTGCATGAGACCAATAGCCTACTTTTTCCTGGCTTGCTACACTTATCATCAAACCACCCTTTGCAAGGAGCTTTAGATTTTTTTGATTGCTTATAATAAGCTAACAAGTAATTTAAGATGTTGGGTAATGGTTTAGAAAGATTATAAAACATCAGTGTCAGCACTAGAAACTTCCTGAGGTACAAATGGTACAAATTGTTCAATAAGCAACAATCATGCTTAAGTGACGAATGGGTTTACAGATGTAGTGATGAAGGGAGTCAATTGAGAAAGATGATCTTATCAGCTCTATGTTCTAACTGGAAAGGCAAATGCTTCCAGAAGTATTTCAGCCTGAACATGAAAACTTGAAAATGTATATAACACTGCTCCAAAACCAACCGAGCTTTGGGTAACTATATAGTTTGCCATCAAGACAGCACATATTATAAACAGGGTTTAAGAAAAAAAGAACTTGTACATGGATAATTTCACACAAAAAGTTACAAAATCACATAAGTGAAATATTATTATCTGACCTGTTTAAGTCATTGTTTGCAAATTAAGGATGGTTTTTATTAGTAATAATTAAAAGCCAATATTTTAATTCTGATGGTTCAAAGAGTCTTTTTTGTTGCTCTTAAATTCCATGACTACTAGTGTCAACTGGTTGCTGCTGTGGCAGGAAATACATGCAATGCAATCATGTGGGAAGGGCATCTTCTGTTTTTAATTGGAGTCATGCTGGAAATCATTGGAGGACTTCATTTTAGACTTCCAGAGCTCTGAAAGAGAAAAACAGATACCCTCCCCCAAAATACTAATTGAAGACACATTATGTAAAAATAAATAAACTGTTTCTGAAAGAGGTAAAAGCAATCTGTATATTGCCTTTCAAGTCCCCATTTTCTGTGGGTTTGGCAACCTTTGGCTATGCTTGCAGCCAACTACGATACAGGGCTGCGAGTTCATTGTTTTTTCCTCTTCCAAGCTTCGTATATTTGTCTTCTTAAGTCTTAACTTTTTGCAAACAGGATAGGCATTGGAAGGATGTTATATTTTCCTATGGAAGAAATAGGTAGACACACCATGTCCTATAACTTACAACCTGCTCTACAACAGCATGGCCAAGATTCTAGGTACTAGATCAAAACTTAAAATGCCGTGCACTCCACTGTGGGGCAGGCTTTCACTTCTCTGAGATGCAGTTCCATTTGTCATACAAAAATACAACATGAATGTCTTAGTAGAACACGAAAAACTAAGACAGTGTCAAGAACTGTTGGATGTTCAAAAGACTCTGAGGGCCGAGATGGATTCTGACAGGGCTGGAAAAACAGGGTCAGAAGAAACCTTTATCTGTCATCTCACTAGTTAACCCACTAGTGACTGCATCCTGGTTTACAAAAGGGAGCATTCAAGAAAGAGCAAGAGACTCAATGATCAATATCTGACAGGATAATCAAAAGAGACACTCTCCATCCAGATTCAGCTGAAGTTCCTGAGATCTAGAGAGAACAACCTCATATTCCAAAGTGATGTCTGGACAATGCATGCAAAACTTGCAAAAGTATGAAGAGTCCAGTTTTGCAAACCTTTGTCTCATTAAAACAGTTGGGAAATGAAGAGAAAGGAAGAGAGAGGATTTTTATGTGAGAAATTTTCCAAATGCTTTGTGGTCTTTCTCCCTCTTGGGGAGGAAGTTGCTTCACCCTTGTTTTAAGCCAAGTGAAGGGGGCTTCAAGAGACCAACTTTGAGAGCTGGACATGTCTCCTTTGGAGTTTGGGGAACTAGTATGAGACACTGGCTAAAGATCAGCTTTAGGGTGGCTGAGAGAATGAGAAAGTGAGGGCGAGAGGCAGAGCAAAAGAGAGAGAAAAAGGCAAGAGTAGAGCAAGGATGAATGAGTATTTCTCGTGGGCCAATTGTGGGTAACCAATTACAGCCAGCCTCGTGCTTGCTATTTTGAATATTTTTCAAGGGGATTCCTCTAGGGGCAACATGCCCCGTAACAGAGGGATGGACAACTGGAAGCCAAGGGGCTGTGGAAGGTGCAGCCCCGAGAGGTATTGGCTCCAAGGAAGTAACAGGGCTCCATTGAAAGGTGTCTTCTAGGAAGTCCACAAAAGCATCTTAAAAAGAAAGAATTAGCATGCTATATACCCAGAAAGCACATGGATTATGCAGATCTGCTTATGCAGGTCATGTAAGACTTCTGTTGTCTTTAAAATCTCCTATCTTAGATGACTGAGTGAAGAAAGGGGTGAGAGAAGAGGACAAAGGAAGATCAGGAAATAGGAAAGAAGCCTCCTGCAGCCTCTCCTGTGTCAGGCTTTTGAGACCGCCGCACGCCTGGGGCGGGGAATAGCTTCATGTGGCTAAAACGAGGACTGGGCAGTTTCAGTACTGACATGATATTCTTCTTTTGCCTAAAAGAGATTGTAGTCCTTTTATTATCTGCAACTGGTTTTAAAGCCATGGGGCTCACAAAGTGTTCATTCAAGTGATAGGGGGGAAATAATCCCCAGAGTTTGAAGAGAAGGGTCGGGAGGGGAAGGATACAATTATTTTCTTCTGTCATCTTATCAGCTAAGTCTATTTAATTATTGGCTACAAATAAAATCTTTTTCACCACTGTGGGCTAGAGGGGAAACTACTCAAAACACAGGCCCTCCTGTTTACGTACTGGATAAATCAATGGGGGAGGGTCCTTCACTAGTCTAGCCTAGTTGAGCACAGAACATTGTCTTGATTTTCAAGCTGCCTCCACGACAGACACGTGCCCCCTTCTTCGGACACAGTTTCTGAGGAGAAGGCTTGGACTGTCTTCGACAAGGCGAGTGCTCTCCAGGTTCCCACCTTCTTGCTTTCATTGCCCAGTGATCCTAATTTTCAAGTGTCTCCATAAACACTGATTTTGTTTAACACCTCACTTTGTAGAGTCTCAAGTTGTGATGATGAATACATCGTTTAATCTCCTCCTGACATAATTTTTTAATGCAAAATGAGATCAACAAAGCAATTGAAGATGCAGTGAGAAATTTTTAAAAATCAAAAGCTACAAAAACTAGAAAGCTAACACAAATACCTCATGGAAATGACATCCACAGGTCCCCTGCAAAAACTCTTTGTATCTCCCCATTGTTATGGTGAAGGTGTCAACCACTTCATAGCCATATATTTTTGCAGCATCCAGAATAACCAAATTTTCTTTCCACAAGTTCTGAACTTCACTCTGTATTGCAAAGCAGAAGAATGAGACCTTTTATTAAGAGGATTGTTTCATGATTTAGTATCGCAGGTAGAAATCATGTGTCACCATTTTTACAGATTGGTCCTATTGTGAGATAAATAATTGATTTCATGTGTATTTCTTAAATGAAGACACGTTCTACTTCTCTTATTCAAAATATAAGTATAAACATTCATGTTTATCTAAACCAGCAATACATACATATTTATAGTGACACACAGTTTGCAATTTGCCCCTCTATGACCAAGGTATGTTTGTTGCCCACAATGATCCATTGAAATATCTAAAATTCTCAGTTTAAAAGCCAAGATTTGAAAATCACAAATACTACCTCTATTTAGATTCTTATTCATTTAGTCATTTGAATATTAGTGTGTTTTGTGCTTAGCTCTGCGCTGAGGGGCAGGAATACAAGGATAAATGAATCGTGATCTCTGAGACATCAATGTGTAAACAATTACTAAGTCCTTTATTGGCAGTCAGTACACAAGGTCCTGGCTGGTAGGGAAAAGGGGCCAGCTCTGCAGGGCCAGGAGGGCAACTGGACAGCTGGGCTTTAAGAAAAGGTTGCTGGGCAGAACGAGGTCTGCTAGCTGGTGGGAGCAGGGAAACAGGGAAGGGGAGTGTGCTTCAGGAAGCGGAAGAATTGAGTGGAGGTTCCAGCTGCTGCCTCTCTGGATCATATTGCTCCTGGCCCAGCCATGTCCGAGACAATGACCACATTCAATGGGCGTTTTAGGTCAGGTCCACTGTTGAGAGGAGGGTCTCCTCCCCTAACCATTCTAGCTGTGGGACTCCTCGTGGGCTCAGCTAAGACTCTCCCAGAGCCTGAAACTCTTCCATCCATCTCCCACTGCCTTCACATCAGACACAGTATAGCCAAACACAGTTCCCAACAGAAAACAGACACTCACAAATATTTGGCATGAGATAGAGTGATCGGCATTGTGTGCTGTGAGCTGAAACTCTTCCTGCCTCCCCCTGAACCCCTTCCCTTTATTCTTTCCAGGCATTCTTCCTAATACATCCCCTCATTCTGCTAATCCTGTCTTGGTGTCTGTTTCTAGGAGATCCCCAACTGACACAAGGAAGGAACTGCATTCTGCTTGCCTTTTTCTCTAGGGCAAAAGTGACTTTCATTTTCCAGGTGAAAGAGCAAACTACTTGCATTCGTTAATTCAGCCACACAGTAAAAGAAGCTGCGGAAATATGTCTTCTTAGTATCCTGTCTTCTGCACTGGGCTTGCGTGTCTACTTTATGTAACATGCAAAGAGAAGCATTTACCCACAAACAAAGGCAGTGAATGAAAGAGGCTTGTGAAGAAGAAATCAAGAAGAGAGACAAGATGCAAATTTGGTCTGTGTCATCACATAAAAAAAGGATGCTCAATATTGTTGACATGCTTTTTCTTGCCCAGTTACAAGTATTTTCTAAACTTTAATGTATCTAATTATGAAAGTTACTTTATAGTAAGCAGTTTCTAGAAAACTTCCTACAGAAGGGTCAGTTCTCCAGGGAATAGACTCTGAGGTGAAAATTTGCATGGAGGCTGCTAACAGGAGGATGTTCCCAGGGCCCACATCGAAAAGGGAGCGATGCAATTCCCATAGAGGCTTTCACCGATACCACTAGGGGTTTTGGGGTTGGGATGGTCTTTCCGAGATGACCCACACTAAGGAAAAGGGACTGGATCTTGGTCCTCTTGCAAGGGCAAGCTGGATCTCTGCAGCACGGTAATCCCTGCTGAGGTTCAGGTGTGAGTCACCCCTAGTTGTGATGTGAGTCACACATCACACAAAATGTCATGCACGCAGGCACGGAGAAGTGTTTCTGAAAACCTGAAAGTGACCGAGAGCACAGCGTGCTTGAGAAGCCGAAACATGCTCAGCATGACTGAGCTCAGTGGTGGTAAACGCGCACGTGCGTGTGTGCGTGTGTGTGTGTGTGTGCATGCTTATAAACTGGTCACAAGGGAGCAGTCTACAGAGGAAAGTAGAGGCCAAGTGTTGAATGGCCACGTAAGCATATGAAGAGGGGTTCAGATTTATTTTCTGCTTCCTTCCACTTGCTATATTGCTGGATATCCCTTTCTCCTTTGTTCTATTGTTTCCCCTCTTCTTCCTTCCTTTGGCTTCACTCAGTCTGATGAACACCATCAAAACCTGGGTGGCAACATACTGTTTAACACTGTAGCTGGCCCATGGTAAGTGCAGAAGAAATGTTTGCTGTCTGCTGAGATGAACTGATTCTGAGTTAGCAACTTAAATATAATAACAGGTGAAAGTGCTCCAGTTCCTGTGAGAGTCACAATCAAAGCAACAAAGTGGAGCTACGAGAGTCTTTAGGAAGGAGTTGCAGTCTCAGTCTGTGGCCTTCAAATAACATTAAAGGAGATTCAAGTCACAGCCCATAGTGACAAATATCAAAGGACCCCTCTTCAGTCCCCATCTGTCTTAACCCTTTCATTACCTACACCAGATACTAAATACCTCAGCTCATTTTAAATGACCTTAACTCCTCCCAACTCCAAGAGGCTGAATTTGGAGACTTCACGTGGGCCACTTGCTACCAGCTCTGCTTTGGCATCATGGGTATGGCATGGGATCGTGTCATTGGTGTTGGGTAAAGCTACAAGTGCTCAACCCCACCACATAAATAAGTCTCACTCAGCTTACATAGTAAACAGCAAGTTTCCTGGCTCCCCAGTTCCCAGTGCTCCCTTGAGTTTCCCTGAGCAATTGCACACAAGCCTGACTGCCAGAGAACTCTCCTCGCTTGAACAAGAGCAGCTGGTTCTCTTACCTACAGATGGTCTTCTCTTTTCTGAGACTTCTGTTCAGTATTGACACTAATTACTGTCTTCTGTAAGAACTGGTCAGAGATGTCTAACTTCTGTCATTTACTAATATCCAACCAGAGGAAAAGCTAATGATACTACTTCAAAGGCAATTTTTTAAAAAAGCAATCAGAAATCTTCAAAAAAGCCAGTCTTGCCTAAAGTCCTCACTGATACTGACAATTTCATCTGTGGTCTCAGCATGAGCCTTTAGAAGTAGATGAAGCATTAGTGGGGTAAGGAGAGACCTAAAACATAATTCCTCTCATCTACCCCTCAGTTCCTTATTCTTCATAGTTTGGCACCCCCTTTCTTCTTTCATGAACCCCAACCCTCATTTACAACATGTTTATGGGCTATAGTTTCCTTATCTCCAGGAATAACTATAACTGATTTGAAGCCATAATCCTTAAATATAAGATGTCCTATGATTTTTATGAAAGTTGCTAAAAATTATGCTGTACCTTTTGGGTCCTTTTTCAGAAACCAGCAAAGATCCTCATGGGAAACATGAAGTTCACATAGTCTAGAGGAAATAGGCTTACCTGTGTTAAGAAATGCACTCCATTCACTGGCAGATGAAATCCAATTCCCAAAGTTTTAATGATCACAAGGATATTGAGCAAATTTTCCCTATGAAATAGTGAGAATTCCAGAGTCATGAACTTTGTACATTTCTAGATGTTTGTGTTGACGCTAACAAAGAGAGTGGAATTCTTTTAGCATGTGATAATTGGCATAGAGGACTAAATTCTCATTTTATAGATTTGATGTATATTCGTTTCTTTTGGTGGGTAGAGTTTTATGTGTCAGTGGGCATGTTTTGACCTGTAGTAAATGTAAATTTGGATGCTGAAGAGCCGTCTTGTGACTGGACACAAAAGTATCTTGAAATATTTTAAACTAGACTTTTAGTATGTAATTCTAAACTACAAGTTGCTCTTTCAATAAAATCTTGATGAAATTCATTTACATCAAGAACAACTTTATTTTTTTACTTAGAATACTAATGACAATTATTGTTGCAGAAATTTACCTCTTCAAAACCTTGTGAATAATTTCCAGGTGATTGGAATTAAGCCACTGAACACCACCAACGACCAATATAGTCTGGCCCGTATTCTCCAGGGGACGTGATCTGGCATCCAGAAAGAGAGACACATGTTGCCTTGAAACAGATGGTAAACATTTTAACAGCATTGCCTCACATTTCACTGAACCATATCTGGCATCCTGATTATAGGACCTCCTTGTCATTTCCAACTCGTTTTCAGCCATATAACTTGGTATTTAAACTTTTCAGCACATTTGACATACAGTGAGTAATTATGGCAGCTAGTAAAATCAGCACATTGTGGCATTGTGCTGTCCATAAGAGTTCCATTGTACCTTTGCAAGAGATGTTCAAGTGCTTGTTCAAATGTTGGTCTTAACGAAGGGCTTATCCAGAACTGGGGATAGTAGGAATAACTGATCAAAGTCTTTCCCCCATTGATGTTGTGATAGACTTTTGTGCCATGCGCCTTCTGCCATTCCTGCAAGGTGTCATTCAGTCTTTCAATCAGATAGTACATTATGCCTCTGTTGGTTGAATCTCCAATGAAAAGAATCTAAAAAGGAAAATATTTGCTTTTGAATGTTTACATGGGAGAAGAGGTAATATAAAATAATTTGTTGAATACACATAAGGTCACAAGTCTCACTGTTTGGAGGATGGCCCTTTAAATTGTTAGAGATGACATTTACCATATTCTCCCCAAATCATTCACTTTCCTCTCTTCCATATTCCTACTAATGATGTCATCTACGGACACACTAAGTCATGTTTAAAGCCTTTTGCTTTATGTTATCCTCAGTTTCTTCACCTCCCTTATGCTCTTCACTTTCTCATCTAATCAGCTTAACATGTCGTATTGATACAAATGACATGAATTTAGTGCTGTAAGAACACATAGAGAGTTTCCAGTCTATTTTGTAGATGAGAAAACTGGGAGAGGTTAGGCAGAGACAGAGAAAGCACAGAGGTTAGACAGCTCAGTAGAGGCCACGCCACTCTCTGAGAAAAGGGTCACAAGACTAGAATCTGGTTTTCTGACCAGTCGTCTACGCCCCGGGGCCATTTGCCCTGGGAGCCTTTCACACCCATCAGCTCCTTCACGGTGCTCCCCCGCCGCCCCGGCCCAGCACCGCCTGCTTTAGGCTCTTAACTGCTTCAAAACTCTGCTGAGAGCACTCTCCTCTTGGGCCTTCCTTCTTGCACGATGGCCACCCTCTCATGCGTTCTCCACACAGCGCTGCTGGGATAAATCAGTGGGAAAGATGCCTAGTTCTGGGCTTCTTACTTTCAGACTCCAAAACCTATGGTTCCCCATTTTCTGTAGAACCAAATCTGAATTCCTTGGGTGCAGCTAACTTTTGCTGATTTTATTGCATATCAGCCTTTGCTAGGTAGAGAGTTCACACAGGGTATTCCCTTTGATCTTCACAATCGTGAGGTTTGAGCCATTATTTCTGTTTCACAGATGAGGAATTTGAGGCTTAAGAAGATCGAGGTCATAAATCTAGTGAAGCGGGAGCACAGGACCCAAACCTGGGTCCTTCAACTCCAAGTGCAAGGTCAATGGCCCCATCCTCTCTTCGCCTCTTCTCATGGAATCAGGTCAGATTCCTACTTTTTTGCTGAACTTGATTTGCACTCAACAACATCTGTTTTTCCTTGTGCTAATCTGCCTGCCTACAAAGCTCCTCCCTCTGCCACCCCACCTGTGTAAATGCTACACATTCTCCAGCCAGACACAAATGTCTCTCTCAGCAGCTCTCGTCCAGGGCTCCTGCCAGAATGACCTTCTGTCCTCCCTGATTTCATTACACTTTAAAATTTCCATTACAAATTTTATCGACGACTACATGAAATGTTGGCTATTTGTGTCCATGTCTGTTTTCCTTGTAGCGTATTAAGAAGTATTTGAGGTCAGAGTCAGGGTTAATTTCTAAATTCACATTTCCCCCATGGTACCATGCATGCACTTCTAAAATACTGATTAAATTGAAAGTCAAAAGGACTTGTGTTAGAGGCAATTACTTTTAATGTCTTTGGACGGGTTCATTTAGTTCTTTGGTTTTCTCTGTTGGGTTTTCTCTTTCCATTAGTCATGCACGCGTTTTCTTCCGATTTGAGCAGCAGTCACTGCCATCCTTTCTCAGGCACTAGTTTATCTGTTTATCCACAGAAAATTCAGTGAGAATCTGCAGAGGTTTATTCTTTTCATGGTAAGTGTATTCAAGTAGCTGTGTGAGGAAATTCAGAAGGCATCTGCAATTTGCCTTCAGATCAAATGCTGCTGTCATGAGCAGCACCGCGCTACGCTGAATCACCAAGTTCCAGTCACTGATCCTTGTGTTCAAGTTCCATTAGAGGCAATGGAATTCCAGTGTGATAAAATAATGTGTGAAAGCACTTGAAATTCTTCCTACCAGATTTGACCTATAGCTACTTCTGGTTTTTTTTCTGGTCTAGATTTCTTATTTTTAAAAGGGAACTTTGAATAATCAGGAAAGCTCTTAGTTTCAGATACTAGTAATTATCCAGCTCCATTTGTATTGGTTAGTTGCCAGGGCTGCGGTAACAAGTACCACACACTGGGTGGCTTAAATAACAGAAACTTATTTTCTCATCACTCTGAAGGCTGGAAATCCAAAATCAAGGTATTGGCAGGGTGGGTTTCTTCTGAGGGCCTTGCTCCTTGACTTGCAGATGCCATCTTCTCCCTGTGTCTACATGTAGTCTTTCTTCTATGTGTGTCCGTGTCCCAGCCTCCTGTCATATCAGGTTAGGGTCCACTCATATTTTACATTAGTTACTTCTTTAAAGGCTGTACGTCCAAACACAGTCATTGGGAGTTAGGACTTCCAACATGTAACTTTGGCTGGGTGGACATGCAATTCAGCTCTTAAGACTAGTAAATGACCTTTGAGATTCAGGTTTTCCACTAAATTTCTTACAAGTACTTTTCAGTATCAAGATGCAATCCCTCCTAGCATATCTCCAGGCAACCAGCAAGATCACTGGGTGTCTGTATTGTGGGCTAGAGAGAGAGATACAGAGGCTTAGGAAAACCACAGTAGCTGTACATTACTGAGAGAAAAAAATATTCTAGATTTCCACTCTTTTCTGTGGGTTTTATGAAGATGCAGCTTATCAAAGCATGTCAGAGGCAAAAGAGTTGTGATTTAGGATGCTCAGGTACTGGTATTTATTAACTAGTTAATCTTTAACCAGTTGTGTGACTTCTCCAGAGGTTTGTTCCCTTAAGTGTAAAATGGGGAAAATAATACTAGCACCACCTCAGGGGACTTGAGTAAGAGTTTAAATAGTCATCTTATTCCTGGCCCACAGTAAGTGCACAATGAAGGTGAGCTAGAATGAAGGCACAGGAAAGGCAAGCAGGGTTTTTGAGTCCTTTTCAGATGCCTTGCAGTGCACTGCTAGGCACTTTAAATTCATCAGCTCGTTTAGAGAAAATGTTAGAGAAGATAGGAAATGTCTAAACCACAGCTCTCTTGCCCTCCCAGGATCTGCAGGGTTGCTGGTGAAACTAAAACCCTGGGTGGAGAAGCAGAAGAGAGATCATTAGCACCTGGAGCGAATCAGCACTGTCAGAACCATCTGTCTCCATGGCTGACAGTGACTAACAGAAGCTACAGGGATGGGAGAAGGAAGCGTCCTCACCATCAACTGCAAAAACCGAGTTCTTCTGAATTGCAAATAGCTTGAGAGCATATTTTGAATCTGGTAGATACAGCTCTGGGAAGACCATTCGTTTATCCCAAGGCCTTTCTATTTCATGAAAGATAGAGATGATATATTAGACCTAAAATAAAAATGCAGTTGTGACTTGGACTGTTCATTCTGTAGATGAGGCAGTTATGGGAAGAGGTTAACTGGTATTCTTAACTGAAAGATATCTGAGGTCAAAATGACAGCGTTTAAACACACACATAATTGATAAAATCAGGGATTATCAAAATATTTTTGCAGTCCCATGATTCATAATCAATCTTGATATATTTTAGATCATTCAACTTGATGAAGTTTTAAAACGGAAATTTGTAGATTATATGTTTTAAAGGTCAATTTCTACTTTAAAAGGTCTAAATTATCATAATAAATATTTATAACTAGCAATACAATTTGGAAATGACTCTTCTCTTCTGTGAAAATTACTGCCTCACACTAGAATGCACAGGTGCTGGTTGGCATATGCAATCAAAGAAAAAAATGGGGCCTTTGAACATAAATAATCAGAAGGCAATGATAAAAATAACCAGTGTCAGCAATAAAACATTAACATAAGTAGTTTTTTACTTTTTACTAAAGTAGCAAAGATTTAAATGCCCCAACCATATTATTAGTAGTTTAGAGAAATGGACCCTCTCATATGCTATTATGTAAACACCACAAAGAGGGCCTTAATCTTTAATTTTTTAACTGTTGAATCTCAAGTCTACAACAGTGCCTGGGATAAATCAGTTCCCATTTGTTAAGTGGATGAATGGAAACTGCTGTTGTGTGTACAAATTGGCAGTTTTTAAGGAATTTTATTTCTAGGAAATATTTAAGGATGTGTGTTAAAATGTATTTTAAAAGCAAAACAAATTGGAAGCAGCATAAATGTCTTCCCAACAGGTCACATTAAGGTATAATCCATTTGAATTCTCTTCATTTTTTACAATGACACTATGGTATGGATATATTGTGGTGGGGAAGATTTCAGTTAAATTTTATAAAAAGCTGATTATAAACAGAAAATCAGTCGTCATTGCATTTTTGTAAAAGTAAAGCATGTAGATGTATAGAAAACATCCTGGAAAGGTAACTGGTTATTTTGAAGCAGTGAAATCACTACAATTTATTCTTTTTGCTCATTTGTATTTTCTAAAATGAACATACATTGGCTTTTAATGATAATAATAAAAAACAATAGCAGCAATAGCATCAAAAACAATAAATCCATTTTGTTTAACAGCATTTTGAAAATGCACATAAAAATAATCAGCTTAAATAGACTTTATTCCTATGGCTTAAGAGAGTGGAGATGGGTTCAATAAACCCATGACAGCAATAATGTTAGTCATATTTTGGATTCCAGTAACAACTTTATACCAAAGATTGAGCCACATTTTCCAACACAGAATCTCTTTTCTGGTCCTGGGTTACACTGAGGGGAGCCTGCCTCCATCAAGGTAGGCTCTGGAGAGGAGCAGAAACATCTGTGCCTGGATATGTCACGAAAGACAGGATCTTAGCTCATCAGCAGGGGGCAAAGATGTGCTTAGATAAGTTTTGCATCTGTTCTGTTCCTGAGACTCGGCATGTGGTGTGCCACCGAAAAGTAAAGAGGGGCTGGTATTTTTCCTACTCTTTTTCACACCACTATGGACCATAGGACCTGTAGGTACATCATGTTTCTCGGTTCCATTAAAGCTTGGAAATTGTTTTAAAATAGCCTTATTGGAAAACCATGAAGTGGTTTAATTATTTTTATTTCCATTTCTAATTTCTCAATATTCTATGGTCCCTGTATGAGGTGGAACAGGCTAAGTGCTATAACAAACAGAGCCCCAGTGTGTAGTGGCCTAAACACAAGTGCAGTTTATTTCTCCCTCAGGGAAACATTCCAGGTGGTTCCAAGAAGATAGTGTATGTGTGGGGCTGGAGCTGAAAGGTCATTCAGAGTCCCGGGTCGACTGGCCTATGCCTTCTTCAACTGTGATTTCCAAGAACTCTCCAGGCATTGATATCCAGCGGGCTGGGAGAAGGAGTAAAGAGCTGCCAGGTTTTCTATGGGCGACCCTGGGTGCTGGGCACCCCACTGCTGCTCACATCCCATTGGTTGGAACTCAGTCATGTGGCCACACACCTACTTTCAAGCGAGATTGAGAAACGTAGTCAAGCTGTGTGCCAGGAAGAGGAGGAAATGAGTTTGATAAGCACTTAGCTAGTCTTTACAATATTCTCCTATATGATAAGTTTGGGAATGAAAACCTAAACCCTAAATTCAGATCTTCTACCTGTGAATTAGCAAAAGTATGAAGTATATGAAAAGCTAAGTTTATAATCCACATGATGCAGAAAAGGGCTTCTGTTGTTAGAGGAGTTAGTTCTTTAGGGCAAATAATAGCAAATAATAAGGCAAATTTTACTGATGAAAATGCAACCAAGATTTTGGCAAGTTTTGATTCAAATCTACAAGAAAATGATTTCCATTTCATTTTATTTCATCCTGAATGAAGGGAACTAACAATAATGATACTTAAACATGCAAATATTGTACTCCATTACCTCCTTTCTCTGGAGTCATCAAATGTACAAGGACATAGTTAGCAAATTAGCAAAGAGAAGCATTGGTGGCTATCTGGGCTGAGTCAATATAAAGGTGATAAATTGTTAGTGTCTCAGATTCTGATCTGTGAGGCTGGGAAAGAATTGGGTATATGTAGACTCAGTAGACAGGAAATACTTTTTTTGATTTAAAATAATTTCCCTCATTCCTCTCTCTCCTCTCGCATAGTCTCTACCTTCAGTATTCACAGAAGTGGGGATACCTCTACAGAACCAACAAAGTGCGCGGAGATGCCAGCACTCTGGACTCAGCCCAACTAACAAGAACCCACTGGACCCTTCCGAGAGGGGAAGTGATGTAGGAGTTTGATAGAAGCTACTTGTCCATGAATCTAGGCAATGCCTGTTTACTGGAGAGCTCTCGCCTTGCTACATAAAGGAAATGAAAGCGAGGTGAAGAGAAATTTTATTCACATCTAGTCCAGGGCCACGCATAGCCCACATGTTTAGAAAGCTCCCCAGGATTCTGCTAAGCCACATGATTGAGCACCACTGCTTTCATAATATAAATAGCCATTTCTAAATGAGGCAACGGGTGATTCAGCTCAAATATGAAGCTGAGAATGATCAGACAGCTAATGATACCCAGGGCCTGCTGAAAAATCTAGCTCAAGAAAGCCTCTCCCTGCGAAATGTAATATGGTCACAACAAATGTGTTCTACTGATGCTTTTTGATTAAACTGGCTATCAATGACCAACCAACCTGCTCTTTCGGGTCAAGAACAAAAGTAAATTGACATTTAGGCAAATCACTTTCAAAAACCTAACATTTTACAGAAAAGGAAAACAAACAACTAAACAATATCACCGGACATAGATCTAGGTGCTTGGAACAAAATTTTATATGCCATTCTGCCTGCCATTGTGTAAGTCATCCAATCCTGGTGAGAGTGAGGCATGCTCCTTTCCTTTCATCCTCCCCTTTTCATCGAAACTGACAAGCAACAATGAGTTGCGTGACCATAATGGAATTCACATATTAGTCAGAACATATTATTATAAATGAGCCACACTTCAAAGATTTAAACACCTTAAAAGTCTAAGACACTACTTAACTTGCAAACATTACTTACAAATGTAAGTTACATTTCCTGTTTTGACAGCTGAGTTTAAGTATGTTCAGTCAGTATTGCCTTTTTATATTTCCCTTTCTTAATTGCACTCTTCTCTCATATATTTTATTACTGGTTTAAATTCTGAACCATGTTTTCAACCGGCAAACAAAATAAGGGCTTGTTTAATTCAATTTGGTCAGGTTTCTAAGTTTTTTCAATTGTAAATTAAGTTATCATATTTCTAAACTATTTTCTATATATTTCACATTGTGATTACAAAGTTATGCTAGGATCAATTTTCAAAAATGTTCCATTCAGAGTTTATTAAGTAAGAGGCAGATATCTATTTAGAGAAATGTGTGAGAGTATAATTGAAGACAGCTTGTCTCTTTCAAATGATTTTGCTTTGATTCAACACAATTACGCTTCACAAAACCTATTATGTATATGCAAAAACCTAATCAGGACATAACTCATGTTTGGATAAACTTAGGGTTTAAAAGGAGTCTCACAGTTACCTGCCTTCCATACACACATAAGAAATGGGATACAAACGCTTCAAGGAGAAACCTTGTTCCATCTTTTCTTCCAGAGATCAGCCTCCTGTTCAAGAAGCTGGATTGAAGGCAAATAGCTGAAGTGCAGTTATAAGTACTGTCCCTCTCCCATGCCATTAAGCACAGTGGGGTTCTTGGTCAAAACTATGGAAACATATCAATATATGAACCTTTTTTAAAAAATCTCAACTGATTTGTGCTTTATTCCTCCCCACGGGTGGGCATGTGTTTCCAGCTACAGTCTTGCATTCAGCAATGTAAAACATTAGTAAAAGATGTAAAAGATCATAATCACAGCATAAGGAAATTCAACTGAGAGAAATGACTACTTGGAGATTCTAAACAAAACAGCGTGCTATTGGAAGGCCTAACTTTCTAATAATTCTCACCTACCCAGTCAAATTCTGTTGCCTTTTAATCTAACTCTTCAGAGGAAGATAACTCAGTGTAATGCTTCCCTAAAAGCTGAAACTTGCATTGATTAGGATTTAAAATAAAGTTCTGGGATTTTTTTTTTTTGTAGCACATGTTCACACAACTTATTCACAGCAACAGTGAAACTTCTGGGTTTTCACTATAAAAAAATCTGAGTTTTACCTAGTAAATCTTCAGGTTAGTAAGGCTACTGTATCTTAGAATTTGCATGTTTAGATATGTTCTCACTTTTACATAATCCCAGATACAAAAATTGGAACACATGGAAAAGTAAGAGAATGAGAAACGTTGAATCATCTCTAGTGTACAACTCACCTGCTTGGTTCCTGCCCATTGTCTTTTCCCTCCAGTAAGAAGGATATCAAAGAAAGCTTTGAGTGATAGGAAGCTCCCCTTTGGGGAACAAATGCATTTTTGGGGGAACAAATGAAGACCCCTATTTTTTTCTAGTTCAATGAAACTATTTCAAAGTAATGTGATGGGCAATTCGCATATAACTACCACCTGCCCCCACTGTCCAGGCATTTTCTCTTTTAGAGACTTTTCCAGAACCTCTGAGCCCCAGTCAGTGGTCAGGTGCCAGCCTCTGCTTTTCCCCACCTTTGCAACTGTCAGGCCATATTTTTAATGATAGCTTTTCCATCTGTCTTTTTCTACTAGAAATTTAGCACCTCAAAGGGAGGGTCATGCTGTACGCACCTAGAACAGACTCTTAGCTCAACAAAGGGTAGATGAACAAATGAACAGTGTCCCGTCCCTAAAGTGACCAAAAATATTCTGAGCTTAACTTCGTTAGGCCACCACCTCAACTCCACTCTGTGCTGACATGTTAAGGATAGCTGATATTACAAGGCTTTTGATACAAGGTGATACGATGGGTTTGATGAATAAAAAATCCCTTCGTGTGGTGGGATAAGAACTGTAGCACAGGCTTCCTGATTGCCTCTCTGCGGCTCTGTCTACTCCACGACCCTTCTGTCCTTAGGCGTATGTGAAGTGAATTCATTCAAGTATGTTCCTTTTCCTGAATGTTTAACATGAAAATGAGCCAAAGCGTTATCAATATACAGTGTTTAAAAAACAAAATATTTGTTACTTGTTTCTCTATTTTTTAATTGGTTATGCTATAACATGTATTTGTCTCTGGAATAGAATGGTGATCATAAACATTTCTGGGTAGGATGAAAACTTAATTGTCTTAATAATGAAAGATAAGAGTTTCAAGATCACTTCGTATATTTTTCTCGTGAGAGTGAGAAATAGATGTCCTGGAAAACCTCTGGCTGACCTACTCCTATTTATAAATGGAGGGTTTTGGCTTTTTTAAGAAAGAAGTGCTATTTCCTAGTTGTCCTTTTGAATGTTTACACAACTATCTCTGTGCTGTGTGGTGTATGAGAAGAACACCTGTCTGTATATTACCAAGTCCTGTGATTCTGAATATAAAATGCCTTTCTCAGGCTCTTCCTACTTTGCATTTTCATTGCTTCTGCCCTAGTTCTGATGTATACAACCCTTTACAATTTAGATTTTTAGATTTTTAAAAAAATGTTCAGACATCGTAAACATGAAAATAATATAGATGCTTGAAAAGATCTCTTCACCCATCACTAACCATGCTTCACTCTCTGAGCTGGCTTCACAGGCATGTGCCCTGGGCAGCTGCACAGAGTCTGTGCAGGTAGAAGGGTCCTGGGCTTGATTTATTGCTCTGTTGTTGCCTTCTTGAAATTCTTAACACTTTTGAACACAGGGTCGTGCATTTCCATTTTCAACTGGGCCCCGCAAAATGTGTAGCCAGTCCTGTTATCTTATTACCTGTCACTTCCTTCCACTTAGGTGCCACTCTTAGCTGCTTATTACTTCCAGAAATTTGCTGTGGATGTAGACATATTTACATGCATGCATTAGATTTTGCACTGATGGGATGATTTTACATAGACTATGAAATAGCCACTGTCCTTGAATCTGTACTTTCTTTGGAAATCTGTACTTAGAATCTACACTTTCCCTCTCCTAGTGTTTCATGATGGGATTTTTCCATTAAACAGTCTCTGCTTCCCCAGCACCCATTTCCTCCTCCTCTTAGGCAGTCTTCATACTGCTGTAGAATGATTTTTCTAATTCTGGTTGTGCCACTCCTCTGTTAAAAATGTACAGTGCTTCCCTGTTGTGTATAGAATAAATTAGCATTGTGGTAAACAAGGCAGACTCTGTAGGACCGCTGCCAGTATGCGGGCAAATTTGAGTGTCTGAGCATGCAGGTGTGAAGGACACCTCTGGACTAGGAGAATCACTTAGATAAGCCCTCAGGGGTACACAGCCAGCTGGCTGTTCTCTGCTATGATCACCTAATCGGAACATAGGGCTTATTTTCAGATTTTGCAACATCATATCTCTCTAACAGGTAGGAAAGGGGATCTTTCATTTTTCTTATCATTACTTTCTAGGGTTGCTAATAACCAGCCTTGAAATTAGCAAAGACAGTATTAAGAAGTGCACGTTTGTGTCCACCCACAGCGTGCATGTTGAAACCCTCACCTCCCCCATGTGGTTGTATTAAGAGGTGGAGTCTCTGAGAAGTAGTGAGGTTTAGACAAAGTCATAAGGGTTGAGCCCCCGTAGTGGGATTCGTGTCCTTATAACAGGAGACTAGACTCTCTCTCTCTGCCTTGTGAGAACACAGCAAACAGGCAGCTAACAGAAGCTGGAAAGAGGGCCGTCACGAGACCCTAACCTCACTGGCACCCAGGTCTTGGACTTCTCAGCCTCCAAGTTTGTGAAAAATAGATGCTGTTTAGGCTATCCCGTCTACGGTATTTTAAGACAGACAAAGAAGAAAGCTTTGAGCGTTCTACAAAGTTGATTGATCTACAAGATCTAGGACTCGATCATATAGACTTATTATTTTAGAGATAAAAGGAAATAAGCCTGAGAAGTTATACCTTGTTGAAAGCCATGGAATTTAGTGATGAATTGAAATGAACAACTACTGCCTTTCAGGTTTCATAGACTGTGCCATCTTGGAATTTTTCTGAACATTCTAAATTCTGAGGTCAGAACAGTATTCTGAAAGAGTATAGAGAAGCCTGACAGTTATGGCAAGGACTATTTTCATGGCTTCCAGTCCTGCATTTCTAAGATATGGAGGCTCGACTGTCTAACTTGGCGGCTGAAAATGCCCGTGTGGTGGCCACTCACATACAATTGTGATCCTGGGAGAATTACTCAGTCCCCCTGGGCTTTAATTTTCTTTAGGAGAAAACACAAAATAATAACCAACTCACAGAATTGTGATGAGGAATAAATAAGATTTTAATTTGTCTGTTTACTCAACAAATATTGATCAAGTGACTATTATATATAAAAAATTATGCTAAGTGGTGAGATTATGGCAGTGCTTCAAACATGTTCCCCACCCTCATCAAGCTTAAAGTCTGGTTGGATTTAAGGTATAAAACAGGTAGCAGTACACACAGTTCCTTATACAGAATCAATGCATGGTTAATAATAATATTAACTGACAATTAATAATGCAACTGACAAAATCAATAAATTTTGTTCCCTTTTTAAAAGTATCTAATACCGCTGCTTTTATCTTTACAGATATGCTCAGCCATGAAAATATCCATCTTCCCGCCCTGCCTCTCACCCCCCATCATTGTTATTCAATTATTTGTTGGTGGAAAATCTAAACATAAACCTAATCTGAAAAACTGGCTCACATTCCATCCAGTGCTCTTTTCTATATAGATTGATAAAGTTTTTTTTTAAAGAAGTCCAGTTTTGAACTCAGTCTTGCCCATGTATGAGAGGCTTATAAGAGTTTATAAGGAAATGTCCATCTGATAAAACGTACTTTGAAAATCTGGATAAGGATTACTTACTTCACGTTAACCAAGCATCTCAGTTTATGTGACCAGTTCGCATCCGAGGGCTCTGCCGGAATCTACCTACTCAGAGGGCGCCTAGCAAGGAGACATCGCATGTCCAAGAGCTTAGAAGCCTCACTAAAGGAAAAGTAGCCTAGTGTGGTCCATGCGAGACCTGCCCGGGAATGTGAAAGAAGATCACGAAGGTTAGTGGGTAAAAACAATGCCATGCACCGGTAAGCTAGCAGAAGTGTCTTACATGCGGGAACATTGCTTTGCTTGGGCAAGCTACAGATGCCTGCCTGCTCTAACGGCAGTGCCTTGCTAGAACTGCAGTTGACACGGCCAGCTGCTCTGAACTGCCATCTGTCAGTTGATGTGGTAAGCTTTTACCAATTTGTGCTGAGAAAATTGGCATGCAATCAGGTCAGCAAAGGACATGGCTTTAATATCCTCCATCTGTCAAGCACCTTATTTGGAAATAACTGAGCATTTTGAGCAAGAATTGCTAAGACTCTTCTATGATAACATTTATATATGATTCAAAAAGCCAAACTACATTCAGTGAATTATCCTCTGCAGAGCGAGAGATCAGCAATTGGTCTTGATAACACAACTGGATGGCTTCCGGTACTGAAGGTGTACTGGCTCCAGAACCTACCTTCCTTCCTCTTAGGCACTGCTGGAGCTGAGGCTTAGTTAGGACACCATATTGGCATTTGTGGGGCTGCCAAGTTATTTCTCTCCAGTCACAGGTCCTGTTGTCTGAACAGCTAAGGCAAGGTACGATCCATTGGCCTGGAACAGACAGCATAACCTCGTTTGGTTCTGTTTCGGCTGGTGAAATTATAGTTTGCAAGTAACTTTGGAATTCAGCTATGGTACACCATTACGGAAATGATAGTGAGAAGACCACTCTTATCATATAAATCCAGTGGAGCAATATGCATGGCCTCCTGCTAACTAGAGAGAATTGCAGTATAAGTCATGTTCTGAAGTTACATAATTCATGCTGAAATCAGGTGTGAATTCCATTCCACAAAACCACATAGTTTAAAAAAAATTGAATGATCATGTACTACTCAATAATTACTTACTTTTAAATAGTACATTAGGCACTTGGTAGGACCAAAATTGGTGGGGAGCCACCAATTTTGAGGTGGTTGGCTACAAATATCAGCCTAACACATACTTCGGTGAACTATCCAATAATTGATATATTCCCTACTTTGAGAGTCAAGGTATAAGAGAACTACTTTAATATTCTGTAATTTGTTATTTTGAAGACTAGTTACTCCTTAATTGGAGCGATGGCTTTTCTGCCATAAGTCTCTTCACCTCTTTCTAGCTCCATTGCCTTTAATTTCTTTATTTCTTAGATGAAGTGTGTACTGTTCTTTTCACATGACTGGCATGAGCCTTTACTGGGATAATGTATTTAATGTATCTAGCACAGTTACAATATAATATTCACCTTTGTTAATAGCAGACTTCAGGCATAAGTAGGTCACCACCTTTAGTAAATATTTAGAAGATATATGAATATTCTCAGTGTATTTAAAATCTTTTCTATTTGATTGATACTCAAAACACTTTAGCTTTCAGTGAGTGGATACATATATAATTTATTAGAAAAAATTAATAAATGATTTTTGTTTTTTGTTTTTTTCCTTGTTCATATTTTCAGAAATGGAATTTGAACAGCACATTAAATATACAGTGTTTATTTATCTCCTTTCGGACAACACCCAGATGTCTCCAACAATTATCTGCTCTACCTTAAAAGTCTTGCTTATGTTATTACTCTATGTTTCTCTTCAAAATATTGAGTAGTTAAATATCCCCAGCTATTTCATAATGAGAAAGGAAAACTTCTAATAACTATCTATTCTGGCTTTGATTTGTGGTTCTGTTAACAAAACTATCTGGTGTGACATTAATTTTAGTGGGAAGGATTTCTACTGTTTCAGGGTATGAATATGGTGCAGTTATATTTCATGACCTCATGGATGTCAGAATTGTGTGTCTGTGTGTGTGGAACTGGTTAAAAATAATGTAGCATGAAAGGAAATCTAGTTTATGGTTTACTAGTTGGTCACAGAAAGAGAAAAAAATGTGGGCATATTGAGAGAGAAACTGGGGGAGATAAAAGAAAATACTACACTTTAGAAGGAATCTTACTTAATACATTATTGAAGCATCTTCTCTATTAGATGCTAGATTATCCTATTGGTATTATGATACAATATTTAAAAAATTAACAGTTCATAGTGTCTGCCAGATGTTAGGGATATTCTGAGCACTTCATTATGCTAACTTATATAAGCCTCTTAACTATAATGCTAAACCTTAAAAATTTTTAATCAGGTTGGAGGGTTACAATTTACGTATGTAAAATATTTATACATGTGCAGTAATTACAGCATAATGATAGATAATGAGTAAGTAAAATATGTGTTATACTGAAAGATCTTGGGCTTTGGAGATACACACACCTGGGCTCTGCTTCCAACTAGCTCTGTGGACCTCAGCATTTCACATTAGAATTACCCGAAAGCTTTGGAAAATACCCAGGCCCTGGTTCTCTCCTAGATTGATTAAATCAGAACCACTGGGTCTGAGACTCAGCATCAGTACATTTTTAATACTCTTCAAGTTATTCTAATATGCAGGCAAGGTTGACTATTTAACTGGGACAGATTACTTAATCTTTTCTCCATAAGGAAAATTCGTATAGCCTTACCATAATGCCTGATACATAGCAACTGATGAATACATTTTACTCCCCAACCCCTATCTTAAGTAAGGCACAGTAGTTCAGAATAAGGAAAGTGTCATGTGGGCTAGAGTTGTCAGGAAGATTTCATGGAGCATATAAAATGTGGCCAGGTCTTATGGATAGATAAGATTTAGAGAGGTAGAGTGGGTGGTACTTCAGGGACAGTGAAGAGGTGGGCCTGACTCGAGTGAGCCTGAAGAAGTGACTCACCTCCAGTATACTTTATCTATATTGGAGAAAAAAAGAAGATTCACTAGATGAAAGATATTTCCAAACTTTCCAGATGTTGAGAACAACAGTACTGTAAAAGGTACAGCACAGAAAATTTAGGAGAGGTGCTGTTTTTTTTGTTGTTGGAGTATAGTTGATATACAATATTATACTGGTTTCAGGTAGACAGCACAGTGATTCAACAGTTACATGCATTATTAAATTATCGCCCCAACTAGTGCAGTTACTGTCAACATAGCTGCTTTTTTAATACAAAATGCAGACTACAAAAGTTCTTGTTTCTCCATCCAATTCTCTTTTGTAATTTTTCTGTTTTTCATTCAGAATATATCTTGCTCTCTAATTCTGAGTTTGCTCTGGCATACAGTGTTTGTGACCAGTAATCTATCTCTCCACATCTCTGCTTGGCTCCTTCTAATACTATATGATTTAGACACAGCCTAGGGTTTAACTTGGTTGATACGCAAGAAAACCTCCTTCTAAAAGAACCTCTTCTTCACACAGATGTGTGTTCAATGGGCATATGAAATCCTCTTGGATGGGTCTTGTAGTTCCTCCTTTCCATTCGTCTCTTGTACAGAAGAGATGAACTAGGGCCCGAAGAGTTGAATGACAGAAGTGGAATCATAGTGTTGCTGACGGGACTGGACCAGAGCTGAGGTCTCAGAGTCTCTCATCTACTGATCCTCTTACAATGGTAGGGTAGGTCAGCACAAATTCATCATATGAAAATGAACTATGGCTCAATAATCTCTTTGGGAGCACTTGTAGGAAAACCCACAAACTGGTCTTATAATGAATTTATCATTATTTTTAAAAGCTGAATTTATTCAGTGGGCTTATATGTTGAGAGAGACAATGTTTCTTTAAAAGAAATGGTTCATTTTCTTTCTAAGGAGATGTGGTATGTTGGGGACACAAATGTGTTTCTGCTAATAAGGTTATATTTAGTAATATTTTGAAGGGCTCAGTTTTCATTAGACCTGGAGTATCTAAGAGTACATGCATCCTCTACCCCAGATACTCTGCACACCCACAGTCTTGCTGACAGCTAATTCCACATGAACGAAGGCCTTCTTTGGCTATTTGATGCTCAGGCTGAAGAAACAAATGGCCAGTTGCATGCACGAAGAGCCAAATATGGGTGCAATTAGTTTGTGGGCATAAAATTGCATGCACATAAAAAGGATGCCTGATTGGGTCTCTGAAAATTTGGCCCCAATGGCTCATACTACTATATATTTATATAGTCATAACTCTTCACATTTTTGTATTGGCTAACAATGCCTTTTTTATTGTGAGTTAGTAATACTGCTTCAAATAGACATCTGTATAACATCTGCAGGACTGGAGTTTCCTGACATTTTAAATGATACCAGCTCTTAACTAGAACTGTCAAAAAAATAAATTCTGTTATATTTTTAAACATTGAATGAATCAAAGCTGTGATTTCTGAAATAAAGTATGACATATGTTTTATGGAAGAACATTGTGAGGAATGAAACTATCTTTTGGGAGTAGTTACTTGATTTATAATTACAGCTTTATAGTTAATGCAAGTTAGATTCTAGCGATTTAAGTGCATCAGGTTGGGTGATATATTGGAGAAAAGAAACTCAATTTTGTGACTTTGGGCCATAGTGAAATGTAAAATCATATAGATGACAGCTGCAATTCTTGACTTTATAAAGCTATAAAATTTTTATATCTTACATCTAAAAAGAAAAAATACATCTATATTTTCAATATTACAAGTATTAAAGTAGATGTTATATTTCCTCACTAAAAAGAAGATACGACAAAATCTTCTGTTTACATATCATAAATGCAATGTGAACTGTTTTCCCTAAAGATATTTCTCATTCAACAATCACTGTACACATTTCCTTTTTATTTAAATTAGAAGAATTATTTTTTCTTCCTTAAGCAAGATATCTTATTCTTAGGTTATATCTTATAGTCAATTTATTTTCTGAAGGCTAGAAATAAACTTAAGAATTAAAAAAAATAGTCACTCAAAATTATATGAGCTAATGTTATCGAAAAGACAATTTTACCATCATTACATTCGCTAGGTGAAAAAATGGATCTAGTACTGCCAAATAACTACAATGTACTGTGAAAATAAGGTCTTGGAGCCAATCTGTGGCCATATAATCTAAAGCTAGAGGACCTAAATACACTTCCTCCCAGTGTTGTCCACTGTGACAACTTTTTTCAGTGGGAGGGAGTCCTACCATCAGGGAAGAAAATCATTTCCGGCAGCAAAAATAAAATCTAGTCTGGCAAACTTCTGTGCCTGATCTCACTCATTTGCTTTTAATTATTAGATTTTTAGGACCTCAAGGGTGGGACAGTTATCCCTGGTTGACTGTACCCTGGCTGCTCCCCATCTCCTATGGAAGGGGAGAGAGCTTAGATCCTGGTTTTAGTTCAGCAACCATTTAAAATCATATAATAGATATTGGAAGATGAATATGGGACAATTTCTGCTCTGGAGAAACATACAATCTAGGGCAGTCATCTATAAAAACTTATTGTTAATGCAACTTCAACATATTAATATACATGTGTAACCAATGTATATATAGTTTTATATGCATATGTTATATCCACCATAAAGAAAAAATGATGAGATAAAATTATGTGTGTATATTTTAATCTCTACTAGCTTCCTCTTTGTGAATTGTCCCATGCCACTCCCTCCCCTTGCTCGGATACATCTTTCCACTTTGAAGACCATTGATTGGAGAAAGAGAAACATGTAAATTAAATGCTGAAACATAATGAAGTTAAGTGCTATTATAGACATGTGCCCAAGATATTTTGGGAGAACAGAAAAGAAGCTAATCTGGGGGAGGGGTGGTAAAGAAAGGCTTCCTGGATGGAAGATACAGCACCAGGAGAATTAGCCAAGATGGGAAGTAGACTTTAAAGACAATAGCCTGAATCAAGAGTCTGGAGTCCTTCAGCAGCATTGTGGGCATTAAGTGAGGCTGCGGGGCTGGGAATAATTGGGAGAGACAGGAAGGGTCAGATTTTGGAGACCTGGAATTGTCAGGCTAAAGAGAACGGGCTTGATTAGGCGTCAATTTTGGGAAACCTCTCTCAAGAGGCCTAGCTACTCAAGTTGCCAGAAGGCCCGTGTTCTATGGCGACCCCTCCTGTAAGGACCAGGTACAAGATAGCGTCATAACAGGGCCTGGCATAGTTAACTGCAAATTTAATGGATAGAAGAAGCTGCGACTTCTTGAGGAATCTCAGTAATCTTCAACTCTGTGCTGAAGAACTTTTGACTTGGTTCAATAAGAGGTACAGAATTAAGTTATTTTATGATACTCATAAATTGTCATCTGATAAAAATTTTTTTTTACCTAGGCACATCATATCTCCTTTGTATGTAAGGGTATAGATCTCATTTAGCTGAAAGCCATAAACCATACCACCTGACACCATTAATGGGTAAATCCCTCCCTATGTACTGACTGTAATTTATTATGTAGAACACATGTTCAGGAACGGGGATATGCCCACGTTTGTTAACTGTGCATGCCGAATTGCAATTTGTCCTGCCCATTTGTGAAACTCATTTTCCATTCAAGCTGTAGTGTGAAGTTCACGACAAGGGTAGAAGGCTCCTGAGTGTTTTCTCAGAGCTTCTAGATGAAGGGAAACCTGGATCAGAAGGCCAGAGTGGTAACCAGGAATATCAGAGAAGATACTCCCTTGCGCCTCTTATTGCTTGTGAGGCATTCTGAGTCCCGGCTTTGGCTCAACCCCACTAATCTCTACTGAGAGAGGAGTGCTGGGCAGGAGAGAAACAGGGAATGTGGGCAGTGGTTCCAAAGCGTCTCATTCCAGGTCTGCTCTAGGCTTAGGCAGGATTTAACACTGTGATTTCAGTTTGACTTTACAGTTTTGCTGCCTCTATTAATGTTCCATATATGGGAGACGTTGGTGATCCTTCCCAGGGATTTTTTTTTTATTAAAGGAAATAATTTAAATTAAGCATGCATCCATAAGCACTTCTTTAGTTCACAGGGCCAACAGATATTTATTTTGTATCCACTTTGTGGAAATTATGGTGCTAAGTGAATTGATAGAGTGTGAACAAGTCACACTCCCTGGCCTCATGCAGCGGACAGCCTGCGAAGACCGACATCAAACAATTAATCACATACTTATCATTTAAATTACGGAAACTGCCATGGAAGAAAAGCACCCAGTTCTACGAAAATATGTAATAAGGAAACAGAGGCTCAAGGAAGTATCTTTACATAAGTGTCTTTCTGGCTGATAATTGTAGATAACATAGATTCACTAGGCAAAGAGCAGAGGGTGAAGAGAAAAGCATTTGATTAATCAAAATATTTCACATATTAAAGCAAGGCATTTCTATTAATTATATATGCTACAGCTAAAACTAATGAAAAAGTAATACATTACTGTCATTTTTTTGTGCAAATATAGTTTAATTATATTTATATAGATAGCTTATCTAAACTAAAGATTTTTTTCTTAAGAGAAGTGATATCCAATCTAAGAGTCACCTTTTGTGTCCCCAGATGGACAGATCTTCAGTTCAGGCTGTGAAATGGCTTCAATGTAGTCGAAGGAAATAGGCTGTAACCCGCAGGCCTCTTCCGGGTGAATCAGCAAGCCACAGTCCTGCAATAAAATGGTAGAAATTAGCTGCCATAGTAATTAACATGATCCATCATAGTAAAATCTAAAAACCAAGATTTTTTTTTTGCACCTGTGGATAAAAGGGAACAATTCTTATTTACCCTTCCTGTGGTATTTGACTTAGTAAGAGTTTTTTGTGCTATGAGTAACTACTTGCATTAGGGGATTAATGTAAATTCAAATGACAATTTAATTTATATTTTAGTATTGATTTTCATGTTACTGCTCTGCCAGTTTTTAAAGAAATGGATGCAAGTTTTACTTTAAAAAATAAACCTATGTGTTGTTGACTCATTAAAAATATAGCATATTATATTAGAGGACAATATATCAAGAGGAAAGAACATTAAAAAAGTGGAAAAATGTTAATGGGAAATATTTGGAGACAATGTGAATTTAACAGATGAATTTCAGTTCAGTGCACATTTATTAAGGACCCATGATATTCCAGAAATGGAATCAAATACATATATTTTATTCAAAACACATTCATATATTTACAAAAGTCAGTAAAATTGCAGTGCAATGATATCATTACAGAGGCATGTTCCGTACTAAGCGAGGCCTTCTACAGCCTGACATGTACAGTGGAGAACAGCAGTTTTTGACTCTGAAATCTCTCCTCTGCTCCAGCAGCTCAGACCATTCTCATCTTCTCCCAGCTTACTCTTCTTCCCCACTTCCTCCCTCCTCACTCCCTCTTTCCCTCCTATCCTTTCTTTATATTGGTGTAATATTGGGATGTAACATTATGTAAGTTTCAGGTGTGCGGTGTTATAATTTGATATTTGCATATACTGCAAAGTGACTTCCCAGCTTTTCTACAGAGCTACTGGCACCGGGACCTGCTCTGTGTCCCTCCAGTCAATCTCACCTGGTTCTGCTTCCACCCTTCTTACCAGCTTCTCTCAGCCTATCACATTTAGGACAGATAAAAATGCTGTAATCTCAGTCAGGAATGCTTTCTCCCTAAGTGTGCCAGGAGAGCATCTTTTTGTGTTTTATGTCTCAGCAAGACGTCTTAAAACCCTACCCCAGGTACATATCCCTGCTTTTGTCCATGTCAGCACCGTTTGCTTCCTTCATACTCTTCACAGGTTGGTAATTATTTATTTATTTGTGTCTTTTCCACTAGACTGAATACTCCGTGAAAGCAAACAATTATTTCACTCACATATATAACCTGTCCCTACTCTACAGTAGTCAACAATAAGCATCTACTAAATGCAAAATGGGTTTGACTCAATTGTCTCCCTCTTCATAACATGAATCCTCAGTAATGGAGAGACATCATTGCTTTAATCTCTTCTTTGCTCTGTGACTGCCTCTAATGAGCAACTTCTAGTCACCTTCCCTCACATTCTTAAGTATCCTAACCCCCAACTTAGATTTCCAGATCTCATACAAAAAGGACCAGGACATTAAGGAATGAAAGGAATAGAGGGATATACAGACTTCTTTAAATCTGGACTTGACATATTTTCATTTTTAATGACAAATGATTGAGCTGTAGTTTCATCACTGAAAATGGAGTTTATGATACTTTAAAGAATAGAAATGTGATTTGTATGAAAATGTTCATTATTTTAAAAAACCATAAAAAAATAACACAGTTTATAATAATGTTGTGAGGAGTTTTAGCCTGAATAAACATCTATGAATGATATTATCCATAGTTTAATTGGTGGAGACTAGGCCTTTTGTAAAGCTAGAGAAACATCATTAAGAATCTGTCAGATAGCAAACAAAAGTTTATATCAAATGTTAGGGAGAGCAATGAGAAATAATTATCATTATACACTGCTGATGAGATTGCAAATTAGTTCAGCTACTTTGGAGGGCACTTCATACTAAAATTAAAAATTCACGTAATTCATAGCCCCAAAGTCAGGCTTCTCAGAATGTGCTATAGAAAAGCCCTTATGCAATGTATCTGGAACACATATTAGGCTAGATCTAATGGACCAACAAGGAGAGATTTCTACAGCACGTGATAAAGAAAAAGAACTGAAGACTGTATTTTGTTACAGAACAATATATACCATTTGAAACACACCATGAACATGCCATCAAGTCACCTAAAGTCAGGTACTTCAGACTGAGATGTTGTGTTCAGTGTGTCCATAGAAGTGTATCTTAAATACACCCCCCAGACACACGCACATGCAAATACACACACATGCATATATCATCATGCAAATAATGTTGAAACATTTGCATAGGTCTGGAATTGGACAGATCTTTGCCTATAATTACTGTGTGCTTGGGGTCTTTGTGGTGTGCGTGTGTATGATCATGTCCTAAATTCACCTGGAGGGCATTAGCAAGATAGTCCAGACCATAGCTATCCAAGTCTTTGCTAGTCTCCCTTGAAACTCTGCATGTAACTGACACATATCAATCAATGAGAAAAATGTACTGTTTCATGTATTAATGGCTTATCCTGTTGTGAGTCATTTGTTTCAGCAGCTTTGAAGTCAGATCAGAATATATGCTTCTCTATTATTACAGTAGTTTTGTTCTAAGCTGCACTTATGAGGGTAATTAGAACAAATGAGATTTAGATTTTTGTTCAAGATTAAGAAGAAACTTTTGACAACGTGATAGACTATGTTGCTTGAGATTAGGACTTGCATTCTCAGCACAGCACTTTGCATTTCCAGGTATAAAGTAAATCTGTGCCATTTTAAAGCAGAAGATATTAGGTACCTACACAATACCCCTTCTCCCTTCGTCCTTTCTAACAGAAAGACCTTAGGTAACAATGTATCTAGCATTCAACAAACAAAGAACCTAAACTGTATTTCCCAGTCTCATTTGTAGCTAGACATAGCCATGTGACACAATTCTAGCCAAAAAAATAGTTAAGTGGAAGTGAGCTATAGATTTCCAGAAAGGCTTTGCTTCCTGCTGTCAGTTTTGCCTCTCTGATGCTGCATCTCCTTTGTCATTCTGTTTCTTCTTTCTGTTTAAAATGTGGAGATGAGCCTGCAGGAGGAGCAGACATGTTGTGACCATGGGACAACCATGAAAACGTAGATGCAGCCGTGGGACTGCAGAGCTGTCTTTGAGCCGCCAACCTCCGCGCTGCTTGATAGCAAGGAGAAACCAACTTACTTAGTCAACCCACGAGGGAAATGTAAGATGCAGCCAAACTTCTCTCTTCCTCTAAGAGTCAGTGAAACCTATTCTTTGCATAATGAGTCTTTTAAAGTATTTCCTTACATCTGGAAAGAGATTAACTTCTCTAATAAAAAAAATAAATTGAATTACCTTAAAAGGAAAAACTCATTAACATCTTTCATTTCTTTCTCACTGATGTCATCAGTAGTTTGGTCTGGTTCAGGCACACATTCAACAAAAGGAATGACGGCACTTTTGATGTGAGCGTCACATCTCCTGGAACCTCAGAGTCTGGACCCATGGAAAAGGTACTATTTATCAGAGTTGCTTAAAATGGCATTCACCCCAGAAAGTGCTCCTTTTAGAGTGTGTCGTTTTGCTGGAGATCTCACAAATTCCTGAGTGGAGGGTCATAGCTCTTGATAGAGTGCAATAAGATAACTAATAGGAATTTCTTTTTCAAATGTGTGCACAGTGTATATGTTTAATTTTTAAATTAATTTTTTTAATTTTTAAAATTAAACCATTTTTAAAAATGTACTTAACTTTTCATGAAGTACTATAGTGACCCAAAGATGCTAAGGAGCCCTAGCCCTACCCTATCATGAATACATGATCACTATTTTTTCTTAGCAATTTCTCTGGAAGCCCATTTAAGCTCCTTACAAAAGTGTTTAGCCTCAAAGGAATTAGTATTTCTTGTTTTTAATGTGATATTGCTATATTTTGAGAGCAATACCAATTGGACTATTTGATCTGGTAGGTATCTTTAAACTGTATCTACCTTTTTGGCCCCACAGAGTCATTCCTTTAAGATAAAACAAGTCTCCCCTTCTGTTGAATAATGAATATTGCACATCCAAATCAAAATATGTACAGTTACTACCTATGGCACTCAGCTCCTTCCAGAAGGACCCATCCCCCCCCTTCCTCTGGGCTGCTGCTATATCCAATAAGTTAGTGGTGACTTCTCAAACTTGATAATCCTGGCATGGTTGGCATCCCCCACAATGGTAGAATCCACTCTAGATCAGGACTGTTCCTTTTCCCACAAGAAATAGGTTACTATGATTTAATAGAGCTAAGGAATGAATTATTTTTGTCTTCACACTGTCTGTACATTTAACAACTGCTTTCCTTTTATTGTAGTCAGCCAGCCATTAAATACTAGAAGCTATTGTACAATGCACAATATTGGACACCCAATGAACACATTTATAGAATAATTAGCTGAGGTATACATTAGCAATAAGAATTACAGGATCATCCTTTACATACTACATTGATCCTAAAACAGAATGTTTTTCATGAGGAAAAGAATGTAATGCACATATATTTATATTAAAGGAGATTATATGCTTTATGGAAGGCACTTTGGAATTACCTTGTAAGTAAAATTATACTGTTAAGACTTTACCTTACAAGTATTCGCTATAAAGTCTACAAGGAAATTTGCTGGCATGCTTCATAAAATAAAAGAAAACTTGATACAAAAAAGTATATATCAATAGGGAACTGGGTAAATAACTAATACATTCGTATAATGGAATATTTTGTGATTCATAGAAAAGAAAGAAGCAGAGTGAAGATATAGAGAGATATATAAGCTATATTATTAAGATCAATAAAGCAAGTTGCAGTACATTATATATACCATGATCTTATTCAAGTAAAATAAAGTGCTAGATATTATATATGCTTGACTGTAAATACATAATTTCTGGAATAATATAAAAGAAAATTCTCAACAGTGGCTCTCTGAGAAGATTAAAAATGGTAGGCCAGAGATGGGGGAGTAAAAATGAACTTTTACTTTTTACTTATGTTTTAAAGATTTTGCCTTTTGTAAGAATCATGCT